AATCTCTTCAACGAAGCCTTAGACAAAGACTTATCTGCAAAGGTAAGTGATATTTGGTGGGCTGGGAGCAAAGCTAATCGTTTAACAGAGAATGAAGGTTCTAGTCCACGAAGATGGCCGGCGTTTGCCAGAAAACGTCGGTCGTGTAGCGATTCTTCCAGGAGCTCCGGATTTTCAAAAAATATTGACAGATCCTGATGCTTTTCATCCTAAGAAAAGCTATTTTGCAGCCTCCGAAGACCATACTGGGAGCACGACGCTTGTCCTTGTCTCTTCTGGTACGCGGGTTAGAGACAAAGTAAAAGAGGTTGCAAGCGCTTCATCTCATCGAATTACTGTTAGGGAAATGGATTTTCAACCACTACAAGACATAACGGTCGGCTCGAATGCACTAGCAAGTAGGCAGCCATTGGAAGGCCTCACCGTCGAGAGAGCAGCAACTTTAGATGGAAGAAGTCGATATTTTGGCTAGAATATTACTCGACTACTCTCACGAAGAAAGTCAGCAGAAAGGTCATATTGTATTCCGTGTCTCTGTTCTCCTCCCTTTCTGCCCTAAACCCAAGCCCCTATTTATATCCCTCTTTCGTAGTAAAGGTAATGTGTTCAGGGAGGCTGGGGACCTGGGGGTTCCCAGCCTCTCGACTGAGATGTTCCAGTCTTTTAAGAGGAGCTTTCCAGCCTCCTCGTTCAGACCTGGTTATCAGCCCTTGCTGCCCTAGCTACCCATGGGTGACCTGGTTGACTCGACCATGGGCCGTTCTTCGCGACACACCCCCTTAGCTGTAGCCTACCCCATAGGGAACAGCTAGATCAGCCTTATAGGGCCTCCTAGACGGAGGGACATCATTTCGGAATTAAGAAGGGAGAACCGTAGGACTCCTTCGCGAAAAGCTGGGCCATGTATACGCGGCAGGGGAAGTGACCTCCCAAATATTACTGAGCTAAGCCAGAGGGAAATCCCTCCTTTATTGCAAAGCTAGTTGGGGGTTTTGCTTTCCTGCTGGCTCTGATCTTGTCAGCTAGGAGTTCCAATCGGGCTTCTCGCTGTAATCGGCTCCGTAAGTCAGCTACCCCTATCATTCGGAGGAAATTTTGTAGCTTTTGGAAAGGAGGGCCTTCGTAAGGCCGTCCGCTCGCATTCGGGCCGTTGGAACCCATTGGATTTTGATCCTTCCTTGTTGAGTCTCTTGACGAAGCCAATGCTGATGGATATCAACGTGTCGAAGTCTCGTAGAGAGCTTTGCACTAGCTTCTTCAAGCAGTCTGATGGTTTGTGTGTTATCAGATTCAAGCAACAACGGCTCTGGGATTTGAACTTGCAGAGATCGCAGCAACCGACTAATAAATATAGCTTCTTTGCAGCTTCTGATATAGCTAGCAATTCGGCTTCGGTGCTTGACGTAGTGACTGTGGCCTGCTTCGAAGCTCTCCAAGCAATTGGTCCGCCAAATAGTGTCATGACGTAACCTTGGGAACTTTTCCTATCGATTGAGTTGTCCGCAAAGCTTGCATCGCTCGAACAGAGGAAGATCTCAGCAGCAGCCTTTCGACCCATGTTACCCCCTAGCCTAATACCATATGATCGTGTGGCGTAGAGGTAAAGGATCACTCTGTCGGCTGCCTGCTGGTGTATTTCGCCGGGGTTCTGGTTGTGCCTTGCTAGTCGAGAGACCGCAAAGCAACATCCGGCCTCGTTGAGATAGCCGCAAATAGTATAGATCCAACCTTTTGCAGAAATCTGTGTAAATAACCCTTCTCTGCTTGGCTCGTTGAGGGAAGCAGTTCCTCAGATGCCATTGGAGTATCAGGGGGATTTGAGACGAGCCTGCTTGGGTCTAGGAGCTTATGGGCGATCTTCTCGATATAGGCGTCTTGCGTCAGCCAAATCGTTCGTTGAGATCTATCCCTAAGGATGTATCCCGAGGAACCACCTAGGCTCTCCAAGAAGCGTCATTTGATATCGAGCTTGAAGCCCTCTTATCGCTTCCTTTGCAACCTCCTGGTCTCCTTTCTTATAGGCCCAGATGATATCGTCCACGTAAAGAAGACAAGAATTGCTCCTTTCTCATAACACAGGGTTCTTGTGGGACTGTCTGAAAGCCTAGGGATTTAAGGGACCCGGTAAGGTGTTGTTGCCAAAGGAGTGGCGATCGTCGTAGGCCATAGAGGGCCTTCCTAAGTAGCAGAACTCTGCCTGGCTTAACGAATCCGGGAGGCATCCTCATATAGACTACCTCGTCCTCGAGTGGGCAGTTGACGAAGGCGTTGACTGCATCCATTTGATCAAGCTCGAGGTCGAATTCTGCCGAAATCGCCATTAGGGCCCTGAACGACATCCCGGCTAAGGTCGTAGCCCGGGTAGGAAGGTCCCCCTTTTCCTGCTGGTTGCCGCAGACCACGAGACGAGCTTTGCACTTTTGAAGGATCCCGTGCTTGTCTGTCTTGTAAATAAAGACCCACTTGCAGCCTAGAATTTGCTTGCCGGCAGCCCTCTTCCAAGGAACCTCGAGAAAGGACCCCATCTCCTCGTGTGAGGCAAGGTGGTCTTTCTGAGCTTTGATGAATTCCTCTTTATAAGGGTGCCTTTCGAGCTGCTTCTGTGTCTCTGGCGGTTCGGGTAGGTTCTTCTTATGCGGCCTTTGTGTCTTTGGCTTGAAGATTCGTCCAGCATTGAAGGTTCCATGGAGCATATTCCTGATCTTCTGGGGATAGAAGTCCCGAAATCGGTCTTGAAATTGATCTTCCTGGCGTATCCCTGTATGATCAAGTGGCTCCTGCGTTAAGTGCTCCAAGAAGGTAACTCTTTTCTTCTTAGGAGTCGAAACCGAAGGATTTATTAACGCAGATTTCCTCCCCACCCCCTCAGGGGTAGCGACAGGAAGAAATACTGATAGAACGGCTTGAAATTCATCTTCAGAGGGCGGCGGCGTTAGCAAGAGTTCCTCGTTGGCTTTTTCTTGGTCTTGTGCCTCCTCCTCGTCAGATTCTTCTTCAAAGAGGTCTTCTTCCTCAGACTCGGATTCTTCATCAAGGATTTCCTGATTTACTTGCTGATCCTCTGGAATAGAGACATTTTCGACTAGCTCGTCGATATTTGCAAGCAGCGGTGGTTGCTCGAGCTTGCCGTCGAAGAAGGTTCTTTCGTCGAATGTAACGTCCGGGTTGAAATAACCTTCCGTAGAAGAGGAACCCATATCCTAAAGATATTCGTAGAACTATAACCAACCAGGTAGCCGATGTGAGTTCTTGGATCGAGCTTTTGTAGCCTTCTCCTCTTCAACTGTGCGTTGGCAGTCATTGCGTAGGCCCTACAGCCGTACGCCTGAAGAGTTGCATGCTGGTTGTGGTCAGGTTCCTTCTTTTTGTAAATAGCTCCAAAGGGTCATCCACAGCTGTCGATGCAGATTCTCCTGATCAGAAGGTCTTGATAAGTCCGGTCTGGCTTTTGGATTCCGTGGGGTCCTGTTTTCAAATAACAGGCCGCTTCCACGGTCTCTTTCCAAAGATCGTGAGAAGCTTTGCAGCTATCCTCATCTTGCAGGCCCTCTCCATTAGGGCACCTCCTGATCTCTCGGCACCTCCATTCTGGGATTGGGTGTTTGGGGACGAGGTTCTGCTGAGATACCCTTCTTTCGAAGCCACTTCTTAGTTGCCTTAGTAAAGAGTTCTCCGTCTGAACGAATGGTCTTTACACTATAGTCAAATCGAAGCTTCATCCAGCTAACGAAGTCCTAAGTGCCCCAGTTGTGTTTGTTTTGATAGGTCCGGAGAAAGTAGGGAAAATCATGCCTGAATAGGCGTCTGTTATGAACATCACTCGAACGAATCCCTTATAATCAGGGGATAGGTCGGTCCAGTCGATCAGATTTCTTCGCAAGGATGACTTCGATCCTTATTCGGGGTTCGCCTTGAGACCTGTCTATAGGCCCTTCCTTGGGCGCATGGTTCGCACTCAACGGTCCTTGGGCCCTTAATGCGAATACCCTTTCGTTGGCCAAGCATTTCGAGTGCTTGAGGGCCAGGGTGACCGAGGCGAGCGTGCCAAAGGTCCGAATCAGCTGTTGCGACAGGCCTAGGGTCTCGAGAGGTCCTTCTTCGTGCCTTTGTAGCTTTAAAAGCTGCCTCATCGAGGTCGTCTTGCATTGCAGGTTGGAAATCTAGCACAAACTGACGGTGCTTTCGGAATAAGACGCAAATTGGTTTCCTCCCTTCCTTATAGGCCAGCTGGGTTGGATTTGTAAAGGTATCCCAGTAGATCCCTTCTTCCTGAAGAGACTGAAAAGAAACAAGGTTGGCTGAGAATCTCGGGCAATAGGCAACCCGTTTTAACCGTAGCTGCCGGATGTTCCGTCTGGAGCTGTAACCGTAACATTGACTCTTCCGTAACCCTCTATCCGGACTTCTGTGTCTCCTGTGACTAGATATTCGTTCCTGGCCTTTCTAAAGGAGCGGAAGCGGGAAAGGTTATTGCAGACGTGTAAGGAGGCCGCCGAGTCTAGGAGGGTCGAGTGACGGAGTGGGTAGTCTATAGAGGTCGGTTTCTGATCGGCTGAATAGACGAAGGCGGGATTTGCTGTGCCAACAATCTTTCCAACTGGCTTTAGTTGCTAAGCCAAACCTTTGTTGATCTCATTGACTCTCCTCTGCAGCTCGGGGTCACTTTTTAGAGCCTTTTCTGCTTTTTCTCGTAGCTTGCTGTTTTCCCTGTAGTAGGAAGGTCTGTTTTTCTCGAACAGCTGCCAGCACTCTGAAAGCTCGTGCCTATTTTCGCAAGCAGGGCAGCGTTTTCGAGACGAAGATGAAGGATTTGTATCCTCCTTTCGCTTTCTCTTCTTTTTCGGCTGTGCTTCTGGCTCCGAATCGTCTATTGGGTCATCTGTAAGAAAAGCCCCGCCTCGCTTGATTCCTCTTTGCGGTTGTTGTTCCGCAATTTCCTGATTTTCTTGCAACAATTTGGAACGTCCAACGGGAAGGTGAGGCTGCGGGTGCTGGTGCCGCTACTCCTGGTGCGGGGCCGCTGCTGCTTCCACGGGTGCTGCTGCCACATATGCAGGTCGATCAAATGCTTGTTGCATCTTTCTAGCCGCATCCTCGTCAAGGCGCCTGCTCTCTTCAAGGAAGATTGTTGCATAGCCATCACTAAGGGGCTTAATGATTGTTGCAATATCTCGCAGCCACTGGCCAGTAAGCGCTTCCATTAGGAAGTACTGTATAGCTTCCTGTATGATCTCTTCCCATTTGACAAGCCACTCAGGGATGTTGTTGCTCTTTGAGTAGCTTCGAAGGTGACTCGAGTAAAGCTTCCTGATTCGCTCAGTCATAAATCCTTTGGTAGGGGCGGTTGAAGATTCCAGTGTTGTCATCCATTGACGAAGTGTATCTTCCTCACGCAACGAAATCATCTTTGCTGTGCCGATTGACTCCGTAATTGCCGTTCTAGCTTCCTTAATTAGCTTCTTCTCATATAGGTATTCCTTACGCATATTTTCATAACGTGAAGTGGCTGCCGAGAAAGCTTTCTGCTGAGCCGAAGTGAGGCCTGCATAGGTTATAACACCGGCAGCAAACTCGGAAAACGTAGGCCGAGCGGGGGATTGTAACGGGACTGTTCCTTCCTCAAATACTAGTCCATGGATGGTCTCGTCAACCCTCGCACGAAGCTCCTTATTCCACTTATCCCAGTCCTGAGGTTCTGAGAGAATCGTGCGGCGGGTGGAATTGGTGTTCTTCGACATTGCGATTTGAAGGGTAAAGGGATAAAGGTATGAGTGATCAGATGGATTTGATCTTCGATAAATGGGGAGTGCCTGCTGGCACTGTTGAAGGCGCAATATTGTGCACACGGAAGTTCCAGAAACTCTGTTTCTCCCGGGCTCATAACTCTCACGAAGAAAGTCAGCAGAAAGGTCATATTGTATTCCGTGTCTCTGTTCTCCTCCCTTTCTGCCCTAAACCCAAGCCCCTATTTATATCCCTCTTTCGTAGTAAAGGTAATGTGTTCAGGGGAGGCTGGGGACCTGGGGGTTCCCAGCCTCTCGACTGGAGATGTTCCAGTCTTTTAAGAGGAGCTTTCCAGCCTCCTCGTTCAGACCTGGTTATCAGCTCCCTTGCTGCCCTAGCTACCCATGGGTGACCTGGTTGACTCGACCATGGGCCGTTCTTCGCGACAACTACTGTGGGAATTGTAGTAATCCATTGTACCCATCTAGATAGGTCACGTGCGCTCTCACGTGTGCAGTTGAGGATAGCGGAGGACACATAGCTAGCTCCGTGCCCTTTGCCCCCTCTTCCCCCTTTCTAGAACAGACATCAACGATTACACATACCATTGCGATTTGCACGCAGGCCTGTGTAGAGACCTACCGACAACTTTAGAATTAATATAACTCTCTAGGCACTTTATAACAGCCTGTAAGCGTACCTTAATAGGTAAATTAGACAGTTTTCTTATTTTTGTAACTAAGTGATATAGGGTTGTAAAGTTGAAAATAAATAATTCTATTTATTTAGGTAATCTGTTTATTTAGGCACGTTAAGGTAGTGGGTGAGTTGAAGCAAATCCTAATAAAGTAGGGGCAGGCAGAAGTACCTCGCTTAAGGTCCACATTATGAACAGCAAAAAGTTCGGCCTCAAGATTGATGTCACACTACGCGCATTGGGCGAACTGTTCCATGAGCAAGTCCGAAGCACCAGAATGAGCAGCAAGCTTTCTGACAGCGTGTTTGCCGCCTCTGATGTAGCTCAAAGCCACTGTCCATGCGGAGTGCCGTCGTCTAAGCACCGATGGAAGTCCTTTGACTGCGCTGCTGTACAAATCGCTATCAATGGCGAGTCCAAGGATGGACGACAAGTCAAGTCCAGTCGCGTCAAGACCTGCAAGGAGGCTCTCAAGCAAGCCAAGTGGAAGAGTATTGTAGACACGGTCAAGGCCTCGGCAGCCACTGCCAAGACGGATCAAGCAGGAGATAAAGGAAACTCACGCAAACACGGCGACTTTGCCGGATTGACAATCGATGCTAAAAGCCTCACAAGTGGAACCACCGACTCGGTATTTTCAGCTCTACGCGAGAAGCATCCTCTTTACAATTCGACGATCTATGACGGAGGAGCAACTACCCATATCGTCAATGACAAGAGTCTGCTGACCGACATCCGCGAAGCTGAGGAAACCGACTACGTTATGATCGGAGAGGGTTCCTTGAAGGTCGAAGCACGAGGCACTCGAAGAATGGAAAATGTTCTGGATGGCGAAAACGGAAGAAACACACGCGCTCTCGTTCTTCTCGACGTTGCGCACGTGCCAAGATTCCACACGAACATTGTCAGCGCGAAGAAGCTTGCAAGAAAGGGTCTGTGGCATTGTGGGGTCGACAACACGCTTCGAATGGGGACCTATGACGACAATGGTATCCTTTGTCAGCTCACAGACCAGTATGATCTCGACGTAGTCGAATACAAGACAGTTTCCCGCTCTTACTTCAAGCTTCCACGATCACTTATCTCCGTGTTCAACGCCTTCCAAGGCGTATTTTCTTCCTTTCGGACAGACAACACTAGGCCAAGACGGCAGAGAATGGCGATTTCAAGAGTTCCGCCTCCACCACGGTTGGATTCGTCCGAAATCTGGCATCACCGATCCTGCCATGCTGGGTCACAAGCACTCGAACAACTTGTCTTTGTCACGGGCTGTGCCCGGCTGGTGGACCCGGTTGTACCGGGTCCGGTGGGTCGTGCTCCGGTGGCAACACCGGCCCCGCTCCGCGGACCCGGAAGCTGCGAGAACATTCCGTGAAGGGCAATATAAGCTCGCACTCGAGGCGAAGCCTCGAGTTCAGCTTCCTTTCCTCCTTAGCTCTAGATAGACAACACCTAGGCACCTGCTTGTTGAATAAACTCCGGGCCAGCCTTTCACATATCTAGAGCTCCTTCTAAACACCGCAAGCTGCAGACTGCTCGTAAGGATGGACCAGCAGAGTGAGAGCCCAAGTCTCCAGCAGCAATGGATTGACCAACGCATTCAAGAAGCGGTCAATGCGACTCTCAGCCCTCTACAGGACCAACTTTCCTTGCTGATGGAGCAACTCGGGCGAGCGCAGCCGCAGAGCGCCGACTTGCAATCGCCGCCAGTGGCACGAGGATTGGGAGAGCACGCCTGGCTTGGGCACGCCCCTCCCCAAAACCTGCGGTACTGGAACGCGGAAACCGTTGCCCAACCCACCCAAGTATGACGGCTCACGGAAGAGCTACTCCGCCTGGGCCAGGCAGATGCGAGACAAGCTGGACCTTGATGCACACTACTACAGTGGAAATCGCGGACTTTGGTACCTCATCAACTCATGTTTGGACGAGCGACCACAGCAAGTGGTCGCTACCTTTTACGCCGCGGGAGGCCCTGGGGGTAGCTACGACCCCCAAGAGTTCATGCGATACCTCGACCGAACCTACCAGGACAGCAACATCCAATCCCGCGCTGCTGCCACGCTGAGAACTATGCGGCAGCGCGAAGACCAACCTCTCGCGTCCTTCCTTCCCCGATTCGAACAGGCATTAGCTGAAGCCGGGGGAGCAGACTGGCCGGACAGTGCAAAGATCGTATTTCTAGAGAACGCAATAAATGCACGCCTCCAAGAGAGTTTGGTCACAGCTGTCCTACCCGACGACTACCAGGGATGGCTTGCGAGAGTTCAGGAAATTGCGGGCAGATTGGAGAGACTGAAACCCGGTAGGCAGCCGACGTCGACTGAGCGGACGCCTCAACAGCTACCAAGGCAACGACCCAAGGAGGAACCGGAGGACCCCGACGGAGATGTTAAGATGACGGACATCAACCGTATTGGCCACGAGTCGAAGGGTCGTCGACATGTCGATAAGAAGCCGAAGGATGAGCGCCGCTGCTATCGCTGTGGTCGGACGGATCACCTTATCGTGGACTGCCCAGCCCAGGTGGTCTTTCCTGGCGAAGGGAAGCAACAGCGACCTAAAGCTGCGCGCATGAAGAAACCCGATGCCGCAGATGATTCGGAATCAACCGCAGCATCCAGTGAGGACGAGTCGGCGGGAAAAGACTAGCCCCGGGGCGAAAGCGGGCGCCGGGGCCTGCAAAGGCAGACATCCGGGACTGGGAAGCGTTCAAGCCACGAATGAATAGTCGGACTGTACTAGTCAACGCGCGGGTAAACCAAGGCTATCGAATACGCGCCCTTGTCGACTGTGGATGTGACTGCTATGCCGTGATCGACGAAGCCCTTGTTCGGAAGCTGCGGATACCCTTCGTCGGCTCGAAACCACGAGAAATTGAGGGATTCTCAGAGTCAGCGAAGAGTGTCATATCCCCAGGGGTCGTGGCTGTTGTGGTCGAAACAGCTGGATTTGACGAACGTGTCTTTGCATACGTGATCCCAAGCCTGGGCCAGGACATGTTCCTCGGCCGGCCTTGTATGAGAGAAATCACGTCGTGTACGATGCTGCCAAGCAGCGAATGTACCATGGGAGGGCAGGTGTGACGATACGCCTCATTGGGCAGGAAGAGCCCGCCAAGATACGCGCGATTCGAAGCGCAAGACTCGTGTCGGCAGCCGTATTCACGGCGGGTGTCGACGCGCAAAGAGACGCAAGAAGTGCAACGCGATCTCGATTCATGCAATCAGTTTGTCGGATATAGAGGGCGCTTCAGCCGAAGCCGCCAGTCGATCCGAGCGAGAAGGTCCCGGCAGAAGTGCTGAAAGAATTCCGCGACCTATTCTCACCAGAAGAGGCAATGAAGCTGCCGCCACATCGACCGGGTGTGGATCATGAAGTCAACCTGCAGCCTGACAAGAACGGCAACGAGCCACCCCTACCGTGGGCCCACTCTACAACATGTCACGAGAAGAGCTGTTGGTCTTGCGAAAGACTCTGAAAGACCTGCTGGACAGAGGATTCATCCGAGCGAGTAGCTCAGCGGCTGCCGCGCCGGTGCTGTTTGTGCGGAAGCCGAATGGAGGGCTGCGATTTTGTTGCGACTACCGAGCGCTGAATGCAATCACCAAGCGCGACCGATACCCACTGCCCCTCATCGCGGAGACCCTGCAGAATCTGGCCAAGGCTAAGTGGTTCACCAAGTTGGACGTGGTGGCCGCTTTCCATAAGATCCGCATGGCTCCGGGACATGAGGAAAGACCGCATTTCGCACGAGGTTTGGGCTCTACGAGTGGCTCGTGTGCCCTTTCGGCCTGAGCGGCGCCCCGGCATCATTCCAACGATACATGAACAGTGTGTTGCGCGAATGGCTGGACGACTTTGTCACAGCGTACCTGGATGATGTACTGATCTACTCGAGCGGTTCGAAGGCGGATCATGAGGCTAAGGTGCGACGAGTTCTCCAAGCACTCGCCGACGCTGGGCTGCACCTAGACCCAGCGAAGTGCGAGTTTTCGGTACAAGAGGTCAAGTACCTTGGGTTCATCGTCAACGCAGGGAAAGGAATCGCCTGCGACCCCGAAAAGCAGCGCGCCATCCGCGAATGGGAGGCCCCGACCACGGTGAAGGGTGTCAGAAGCTTTCTGGGCTTCGCCAACTATTACCGGATCTTCATCCCCGACTATGCCAAGATCACGCAGTCTCTGGATGCCCTGCTTAAGAAAGGAACTGCCTTTCGTTGGGGACGAGCGGAGAACGAGGCGTTTCAGGAGCTGAAGCGACGATTTTGCGAGTCACCGGTGCTCAAGCAGTGGGACCCGAGCCTCCCGACCTTTTTGGAGACGGATTGCTCAGGCTACGCATTGGGAGGCGTCCTGTCGCAGGAAGGCCCAGATGGGCGTCGACACGCATGCGCCTTCTTCTCGAAGCGACTTTCGCCAGCGGAGTACAACTATCCCATTCACGACAAGGAGATGCTTGCCATCATGAGATGTCTCGACAACTGGAACGCCGAACTTAGGAGCTGCGGCCCATTTACAATCCTTACCGACCACCGCAACCTGGGTATTTCATGACACGCCAGAAGCTCACGGAACGGCAGAGCCGTTGGGCAGCCAATTGTCCCAGTTCGACTTCAAGCTCGAGTATCGACCGGGCAGCGAGGCTGTCGTGCCCGATGCATTGTCCGCCGTGAACAAGACAAGCCACATGGCATTGACGACGAGCGGGAACAAGGAAGAATGATACAGTTGATACCGGATAGTGCCATTCCATCATCGACAAGAGCATGTATTAACGCGATGGGTTCTGACTGTTCAGAGGCATCCACCCTGCCGGAGATGAAGGTCTTCGAGGAAGCGGACCTGCAGCAACTCTGGGACGAAACGGTGGCGAAGGACTCGATATTCGGGGCAGCCTATGAGGCAGTCCGCGATCGCGAGCGTGCCTTCCCGCCCTCGCTGGGCCTGAAGATCCAGATTTCAGAATGTGCGATCGACGCAGGCAAAAGGCTGACATTCAGAGACCGTATTTGGGTGCCGGGTGGATCCGGAGAGGAGGGTAACCAGGAGGAAGCTGAGAAAGACCAGTTGAGAACCCGCATTGTGCAGCAGTCGCACGACTCTGTTGCGACCGGTCATCCCGGCAGGGAGGTACGCTGGCTATTGTGGCTCGGCGATTCTACTGGCCTGGACAGTCCCAGCTTGTTCGCCGGTTCGTAGCCAATTGCGACACCTGCGGCAGAGCACACATCTGGCGCCAGTCGAAAAGGGGATTTCTCAAGCCTCTGCCGATTCCAGATCGACCCCGGAGCCATTTGTCCATGGACTTCATCACAGATCTGCCGCCTACTGGACCGAGCAAGGCAAGGTACCTGTGGGTGATTGTGGACAGACTGACAAAGGCTGTGACCCTCGAGGTGATGGACAACATGGAAGCTGAGCCGTGTGCAAACCGTTTTCTCCAGTGTCACTACCGATTTCACGGAATGCCACGGTCCATCGTCAGCGACCGCGGGAGCAACTGGCTAAGTAGGTTCTGGAAGAGGTTCTGTCGTCTTGCAGGTGTCACGCAGAAATTGAGCACGGCCTATCATCCTCAGACGGACGGAGGACCAGAGAGAATGAACCAGGAGGTCGAGGCCTACCTGAGAGCCTACGTGTCGTACGTGCAGGACGACTGGGGAGAACTGCTCCCTGCCGCGCAGCTGGCACTCAACAATCGTGAATCCGCAGCAACCAAGATCAGCCCCTTTTTCGCTGAGCATGGTTACCACGTCGCTCCCATCAGCGTCGAGGAATCGGAAGAGCCACCGAGGCATAGAGAAGAAAGCAGAGCTGATAGCCTACTCAGTCGCCTGCAGGAGGTCAATGAGTACATGCAAGCAGTGATGGCCTCCTCACAGCAACAACAAGAAGAGGCTGCCAACGCAAAGCGACAGCCTGCGGAGCGATTTGAAGTTGGTGACAAGGTGTGGCTCTCGATGGCAAACTACAGATCGCCACGACCGTGCAAGAAGCTCGACTGGCTGCATCACAAGTACACAGTCACGAAGGTAATTAGTTCGCACGTTGTTGAGCTCGATGTTCGTGGCTCAATTTACCCGCGATTTCATGTTGACCTTTTGCGGCGGGGGCATCAAAATCCGGCTCCTGGCCCAAAAGGAGATGACGCACAGCCACCACCCGGACAAGAAGAGTCCGGCACGGGTCTGTGGGGTGTCGACGAGATTCTCTGCGCGGGATGGAAGAAGGGCGGACGAGGAATTCAGGTAAGCACTAGTGCGATGGACGGGCTACGCAGAGCCGACTTGGGAGCCAGTTGAGGTTGCAAGGAACAATTGCGATGAAGGCATTCGAGGACAAGTACGGGCCAATCAAGACCAATGATGGCCCTAGGGAGAGGTACGAGACGCTGGCAGGAACGCGCAGACGCCGACCTGGTCGGAGGGGAGAAGGGGGGTAATGTCACGGGCTATGCCCGGCTGGTGGACCCGGTTGTACCGGGTCCGGTGGGTCGTGCTCCGGTGGCAACACCGGCCCCGCTCCGCGGACCCGGAATCTGCGAGAACATTCCGTGAAGGGCAATATAAGCTCGCACTCGAGGCTACGCCTCGAGTTCAGCTTCCTTTCCTCCTTAGCTCTAGATAGACAACACATAGGCACCTGCTAGTTGAACAAACTCCGGGCCAGCCTCTTACAATTTCCAATCTTTCTGGCTTGCCAGGATATCTTCAACCTGTTTCCGTAGGTCGGGACTATCCTCGACAGCTTTCTGGGCTTTCTTGCATAGCCTTTCAGATCGATTGAAATGGCCTGGCCGTAATTCCTCGAAGACTTGCCAGCAACCCTCAAGCTCGTGACTGTCAAGACCACACGCTGGGCAACGGTCTTTGTCAGATGCTCCTTTCCTCTTCTTCCGTGGCGAGGAATCTTCTTTCGGACTGGCCTGAAAGCCGGCTCCTCTTTTCACCGTGCCTGGGGCCGTTGTTGGGTTCAATTCGACAATTTCTCTGATCTGGCGAGCCGCTTCCTGGTAGGTCCAGCTTTCTTCTAGGTATGGTTTTGGTCGCTTTGGGGATTCTCGATGCAGCCCTGGCCTATGTGCTTGATAGATCTTGAACTGGATGGCAGCGGCTTCTTCGTCTAGTCTCTTGCTTCCGCGGATAAATATAGCTGAAAAGCCGTCGGAAAGAGGCTTAATCAGGCTGGCTATGTCTCGCAGCCATTGGCCGGTCACAGCCTCCACGAGGAAGTACTGCTCAGCTTCTCCCATGATTTCTTCCCATTTAGCGAGCCAGGTAGAGATATTCTTCGTTGAAAAGGCTCGAAGATGGATCGTGTACTGGGTTCGGATACGTTCCATCATATAGCCCCTCGTTGGAGCTGTCGACGCTTCAAACTTTACAAACCACTCGCGAAGAGTCTCATCGTCGTGATGGGAGGTCAGCTTCGCTTTGCTAATCGTCTCCGTAATCGTCGTACGGGCTGCCGTGACGAGCCTCGTCTCGTAGAGGTATTCCTTTCGGCGACCTTCGTAGTCCCTCGATGCTTCAGAATAAGCTTTCTGTTGGCCTACATTCAGATCAGCAAATCTCTCAGCCTCAGCGTCGAAATCGCTGAATTCGGGGCGTTCAGGTAGCTCAAGGGGGGCCCTGTCATGTTCGAAGATGAGCTTGTGGATGGTCTTATCCACACGGGCTCGAAGCTCCTTCAGCCACTTATCCCAATCCTGAGGTTCTGTAAGAATCGTGCGCTGGATGGTGTCCTTCGACATCTTGGGTTGAAGAGGAAAGGAGGATTAAGGAGGGAGAAAGGGGGCGTAAAGGCGCGATAAGGTGTCTTAATGGACAAGTCCAATCGAGAACGGCTGTGGAAGAATGCAGCAGCCGGAAGTTACAGAAACACTGTTTCTCCCGGGCTCATAACTCTCGCGAAGAGAGGATGCAAGTGATGAATTCATTAAGTTCCTTGTCCTTAGATTCTTTCTCCTCTCTAACAAAAGGCGACTTCTTATAGTTCCCGTCACCTGTGGCTGCCTTGTGGTGGCGATGTCGCCACCCAGGCCGCCTACTAGGGGGGTCTAAAAGTCGACCCCCCGCGTACGGCAGGCTATAGGGGTCACTGTTGCAAAACCCAAAAAGTCACCGCGCGAGAGTCAAAATGGGTTAGCGGCATGAACGGCCCGCCCCACGGTACATTGGTCTATGTATCTCGGCCCAACTTCGTTGGAAAATTTGGCGTTACGGCAGGGGTAGTCACAGCTACGGGGCCGCTGCGGACCAGCCGCGTCTCTCGTCACAAACATATCAGTCGCCTATGGCGAAAATACCGCACGGTAATTCCAACGCTTTAATGTGTTCCCTTATTCTATCTATACATTCTCCTCGTCCTCATCCTCCGGCTTGTTAAGCTGCTATATATCCAGTTAGCAGCCAAAATGCAACTCACAACTTCAGTTCGCTCACAATCCAGAGCCGAGCAGCCTCAGCGATGGTTTCTAACGCCATAAGCTTCCGCTCTTCGGGGGCCAAAGCGGGAGCTGGTCCTGAAGCGGTAGAAGGAGCCGCACTACCACCGCAAGCACGTAGCTGTTGTGCTGCTCGCTGCGCAGCGATGCGCCAGGTGTCATCGGGTTCGGCATCTGCAAGCTTGAGATGCCGATTCACGTCCCAAAAGGCACGCACGGCAGCAACAGCCCCAGCAGGGACCTAGAACATTCAACTCGATTAATTTCTCGCTTCTTTGGAGCAAACAAAGGTCTCATACTGGCCTGCACGTGTGAGCGTTCTTTGCGCAGTCCCAGCACGCAGCACCGGTATCTATCCCGGCAAATTAGTGAGGCAGACATATACTACAGGGGACAATCAACGTACTGTCCTGGGAGGCACATTCATGGCCGGGAGTCTTGGTGGCGCGTGTGACGCAAGGACGGCATGGGAAGTCTCGCACCGAGCCGACGGGAGGGGCCTTTTTTGTCTGCTTCTTCTTCTGCTCGGGCGAGCAAGTTAGCAGCCGCCTCTTCTTCATAGAAGAACTTATTGGATTGTACGGTAATCTTGGCCGTGGATTTGCGGGCGTTGAGTCGGACCAATCCTCTACCCTTGACTATTTTATTCCTGCTGGGCGAGTCCCCATCCATCGGGCCAGCGACTGCAGTTTCACTTACGATAGCGGGATCTGCTGTGGACATGACAACGCTGCTGACCATTGGCTTTCCACGGCAATGATGATACAGAAGGAAAGGTAGGAACTAGGGTTGGAAGGGATCTGGGTTCTGTAAATATTTGCGGGTGAGCAGCGTCGATCTGTTCCTGGTTTGGTAACCGTTCCACGAACAGCCCCCTGGCACTAAGCCGCTGCGGGCCAGCGGCACCACCGCTGCGGGAAAACGCGGTAAGTCAATTTATATCGCTGTCCCCCTTTTTCCTGGCATGAGGACCAAGAAAATCACCATCCCTTCGACGTTACCGGCAACAATGGCACGTCCGCCCAATCCAATCGATCAATACCGTAACTATATCACTCATCTATACCTCAACGGTGTCTCGCGAAGCAAGATTAAGTATAAGCTTCGGAAGCATTACCATGTCGCCGTCAATCTCAGTACACTCTCTCGCCGAATCGCAAACTGGGGTCTCCCGCGCCAGCAAGCCCGTACCAAAGAAACTCCAGAGCTGATAGAAACCATCCGTGACCTGATCTTTCGCGTTGGGCTTACCGAGAAGCAGACGCTGAGCGTGCTACAAAGACAAGGCTGGCCGATCACGAAACGAGGTCTAAAGCGCATCAGACTTCACCCGGACCGCCGCTGGGTACGCAGGCTCAATAGTGACGAGGAGCGCCTTGTGTTGCTGGAAAAGACAGAACAGGTTATCATCGAGATGACGCGACGGTCCAATGCCATTTCGGGATATGGCAAAAGCCTTCTCCAGCCTTATCTTCGTCAGCAAAAGCAGCTCTGGGTCCCGAGAGACCCTCTTTGCGATGTACAAAATCATGTTCCCAAATGAGGTCGAACTCCGAAAAGGATGTTTCGGAGGAAGAAGGGACAGTTTCTTGTCCCAGGACCAAACTACCAGTGGTGCATTGACGGTCACGACAAGCTCAAGGCGTATGGATTCGAGATATATGCAGCAATCGATGCATACTCGCGCAACATTATCTGGTTTTATATTGGCCACTCCGCTACAACCGCTTTGAGCGTATTGAAGCAGTACTTGGCCGCGTGTGGCGCCTACGGCTTTCGGCCATGGTATTTGCAAGCAGACAGGGGGAGCGAAACGCCATTGGTCGCAGCAGCACACTGGAACTTTGTCTTGGCAACAGACGGGCGAGTGGAATGGCATGGGCAAGTTTTCCAACAAGGAAATCGACTAAAGGATTCGTACAAGGCGGCTCCAAGTACGAAGAACGTTAAGATCGAGAGTTGGTGGGAGCGCATGCTGCATGTCTCGTCCCGGCAGTAGGTAGACTACTTTGGAGAACTCGCCAGGGACGGGGACTTCGACGGCGATATGCTGGAAGATCAGATTTCCATCTACGCCGTCTTCGAAGACTTACTACGCCGAGAACTCTTCGACTTCGTGGAGGCGTGGAATCTTCATCGGATACGCCTCCAAAGAACCGTCCCCATGTGGTCCACGGCCAGCCCTGGATGAACTACCATTACCCCGACCCAGACAAGGCATGCAATTGGGGTATCCGATTGACCGCTCCATTCTAGACGAAATGGAGCGGCCGTTGGCTGATATTGACATTAGCACGAGTTTGGAGCCGGAGACAAAGAACTGGTGCCGCCAAGTTCTCCTTGAAATGGGCTACGATCACGTAGTCCTTGGAACTCACCAGGAGCCGGACAAGTTGCGACCTTTCAAGCGTTTTACCTTGGTCTTCGAGATAAGATAATTCAACATATCGAAAGTGGCCGACAGCCTACGCTGGCATACCGTAAAGCGCCAACTGGAGGCGTTGCTGAATATGTAAGACATACTATTTATTTGCGAGTTGACCAATCTAAGCGCGTATAGCAAGCATTACTTGAGCAAGCAAATCAAGCCCGAGAAGGTGAATTTGGAGATGGGGAACCAGCAGAGCAGCCACTTGTTGAGCTTGGGTTTGAGGACGTGCAGGGAAGCGACATGGAGAAAATACCGGTAAGTGATGACGGGGAGGATAGCGATGGTTCGAATGGGGAGCCTGAGTAGTCAATCCTTCCTTTTCCTATATCGAATAGCAAACGTTGTAGGGATCTTTGCACCCTTGAAGCGTGTAGAGTGAGCTGGAGGAAGCGCTTTAGCAGCGTTAGTGTCGGACAGTCGAGTTTGAGTTTCCCTGAAGGCTTGGGAAATTGACTCCGGGTTTACCTGTTGAAGTTAGCGCTCGGCTCGTTGATGAGTTGGTTCGGTTTCTTACGAACTCCGGAACAAAACTTGTCTCCTCCTCTCTATCTTCTTCGTCCACTTCGACTCCTTCGGCCACCACGCCTTTATACACCTTTCCACTAGGGTCACTGCCAAACACTAAATCGCATAGTGGATCTTCCAGCTCACCAAGGCCTACCGCATCCCCATGTCCAACA